GAAAACGATATTAAAACAAAAATTAAATCGTATGAATTTGTTTGTTTTTGCTTTATTCTTCTTCTTATTTTCTGAATGTTACTTTTTTTTTTCGTTTTGAAAAAAAAAACATACAAGCAACGAACAAGACAAAATAACGGAAAAAGAAAAAAAACAATGCTTGTTGTTGTTGTTATTATTGTTGTTGTTTTTTTTTCTTTGTTTGATTTGAATATTTATTCTAGTTATCTATTTCTTTTTTCCAGCTGCTGCTGTTGTTGTTTTAGTAAAAATATTAAATTTATTTGCAATACGTTTAGATTTAGCAACAAATTTTCGTGGTTTAACTTTTTTTGTTTTTCGAGCTAATTGTACTTTATTCTTCTTTTTTAAACGATTATATTCATGATTTAATATACGATTATATGCTTGTTTAGCATGTAATAATTTAAAACGATCAAAATCCGTCATTTTTGAACGTAAATGTTTTGCTTGTAATTTTTTAAACCAACGTGTTTCTTGCCATTTTTTATTAATATCATGTTTATCCCAAAGTGCTTTAACTGTTTTTGAACGAGCACCAGGTAAAAGTTTGAGTACATATTTTGTTAAATGTAATGATTTAATATTTAATGCTTGACGACTTACATGTGATGATGGACCATCGACAAGTACACGTGTCTGATCGATAATATTTGTAATACAACAAATTTTACCCTTTTCTGGACCATAAGCAATGTAAGCTACTCGACCAACTTGAACTAAACGATCGTAGGGCATGATGAATTAGATGTCTTCTTGATTTTCGTTTTTTTTTGGTCTAGAAATAATTAAAATGAAAAATTTTGATTCGAATATTTATTAAAAAGAAATGATTAAAGTGAAGAAATTAACGAGAAAACCCAGTTTGTATTTCTTTTTCTTCGTATAGATCCAAGTGGTAAATAAACAATCATTTCATTGGTTACAATAAGGAAGATGATTTGTTTCTAACGTTATTATATGAATAAGTAAGAAAATTATATTGAAATTAAAAATAATTGAGCATTTTTATTTCAAAGATATATTTTAATATTATATGAATATTATACAAATGCATTAATGAATTAATATAATATAGTGGTTACTGATTAACATCTATGGTAGAAACAACGAATCATGTTTACTTCATATATTGTCTTGATATATTCATATTTTTAAAATTATCCAGACGAAACCCGAGCATTTGAAGTGCTAATAATTTTGAAAAAATAATTTGTATTGTCTCTATTTGAAAAATGTACAGATAAAATATGCATTGTTACATTACTTCTATTTTGAAATAGTTAATGTTAACAGCATTGTATATAATGATAATGAAAAATAAAATGTTTTCGCGCACTCTGTTCATATTAACAAAGTATATGCAGGAAGCATCTTGTTTTTTTTTGAACTAGAAAATGTAAAATGAGAAAGTTTTAAAAAGTATATTTGAAAGAAAAACAAAATATTTTTGTGTTTTTTTTTCTTGATTTAATTAAAGAGAGATTAGCAGACGAAAGAAACATTTTATTGTATTCGAAAAAGTATATGAGGAAGTTAAACAAGTATTCTGTTTTCCAGTAAAAAAAAATCACTCAATCAACTGAAAAACAAACGATTGTTTTATTCAGGAAAGACTTGTGTACATTCTACTCAGTGGCGTAGCTAGGAATTTTTGAGTCATGGGTCATTTCTCACCTAAATTATTTTCAGCACTGGGCAGTAATGAGCAATTCAAAGTCAATTGGGCTATAAATTTTTTAAAACTTATAACCATCACAAAAGCCGACCTTTATTGAAAAGAAGTTTGTTACTGTCAACTAAGAGGAGCTCTCTCGCTTTTTTTAGTACTGGTTCACCAATATAGTCTTTGACTTTCAAATATTTGAATATTTTATCGGGTGATCCAGATTAAATCGCGGTGTCTTATTTTCTCTTTTTTGGTTTACTACTATGTCAATAGTTTTTTTCTAACTTTTTACCAAAAGATGCGCCGCGAAACGCTCTATAAAATGCCACATTTCGGTTAACTATGATAACTTTCATTATCTGATAAAAGCTTAGAAAACTGTTTTGAAAAATGAATGCAATTTTCTAAAAGAGCTTTTGGGCGAAATATTTCGAATAACGTACATTCCATGGATTAGTGATTTCTAATCTATGATTTCAACGAATTCATTCTATATAGTAGTAGGATCGAAGGTGTCTGTGAAGCGACTTTGCTGTTCAAATGTCTATGAACATCAGTTTCGTCCAAATCGCCGATTAACTAATTCATGAAATGTACGTTATTCGAAATATTACGCCCAAAAACTCTTTTAGAAAGTCGCATTCATTTTTCAAAACAGTTTTCTATGCTTTTATCAGATAATGAAAGTTATCACAATTAACCGAAATATGGAATTTTGTAGTGTTTCGTGTCCCATCTTTTCGTAAAAAGTTAGAAGAAACTATTAACATAATACAACGAAAAAGAGAAAATAAAGACATCGCCATTTAATCGGGATCAGCCGATATTTCAAAAAAAAAGGATAAGTAAGCGGAGTTGTAACGGTGAACGTTAGGTCCGATAAAGAATTCTTTACCGATCGATATATACACCGGTAGATGTAGCTTCTCTTTATCGGCTGGTATAAAGTTTTTTCTAATTTTCGCATCTTTTTTTCTCAAAACAATTAGGATATGTTTTGTTTTTTTTCGTATACCGTACACTTTTCATTGATCGCGAAGACTATTTATGTAAAGGAAGATGGACTAGACTACTTCATTAGTCAGAATTCATCATACAATTCTTGGTGTATTTTATTAACTCACTCTTATATCAAGTTATACTAAAACTGGATAGTTGTTCAACACTGTTGATTATCATAGATTTTCTTGTGTCTCCGTTATTATTTGTAGGACATGTCTCGCACAAACTTGAAAGACAATAAAAAAAACATGTGATGCGAAAGCAGATTACATGTACAATTAATGAATGAGGAAAGCGAATATAGTATTTGTAGTGCTATGAAGTTTTCTGTTCATTAACAAATGTTATAGTGAAAGAGAACTTATGGAAATAAACAGCAAAAACTACTATATGATGACTTTTATCATATCACTGCATTGATTGGAAGACAGATATAGGTAGTTAATGGATTTGATTTTCCTGGTATAAGGTCAAAAAAATTAAGAATGACTCATGCTCGGTCTGATTCTCTCTACTGTTACCAGTACCGATAAAGAAGTTTGGCTTAGATTACTTCAGTCGTTAACGTCTGATACGATTTTATATGCTCAGAAATGTCATTAAGTATGCAGCCATCTTTTACGTCAACGCATTTAAGTGGAATAGCGAGAGTTTTGACGAAAAAATACGATTGAATTATAATTATTGTGGTTATTGGTTTAATTGAAAAGATCGTCAATTGATCTTTCTCGATCACTTGATTACATCACTATAGGAGACAATTTATAAAAATTAACATCACTTAAGTCTTCGAACACACATATATCAAGATTTTTTAGCATTGGGCAATTACTATCGTTTCCAAAAAAAAACCATTGGGCAATAACTTTTAAGTTGTTGGGCAATTGTCCAATGATCCAAGGCTAGCTACACCATTGATTCTACTCATCAGTCAATCGAAAACATATTCTGATTTTTCATTAGCGGTAATTTCAGTTCGTTTCTAGATGTTCTTTGCTGCAAAAAGGCCAGAAACTGTTTCTTGATAGAGAAGGCAATCATTCTTACCACGCTTCTCTCTAAACTCATCACCGATTCTACTTTTCTGAGCAAAAATCAAAATACTGTGTATGTTCCAAGCAGCAGGATGTTCTATCATTTTCGGCACATCTGTCATCAGAAACATGGCTGGAAAGAACGTAGTAAAAGAGAAGAGAAACTGTACATTGCCGCTTTGGTGTAGATTTGCATCAGGATTCTGCGTGAAATGGGACGGGACGAAAAAAACCTCCCATAGGATGAGCTGTCACAAGCCGTCCCATTTTGGATGGAAGTATCTTCCAAATTTTCTGTCCCACGTGGATTGGGATTATCCTCAAATATTTCCTTCCACCGTGCGATGGGATGGAATGGAAACTTTTTCGTCCCATCCGATCCCATGCGGATCCTTGATTCGCATCGGATATTCTATATGCATGAACAAGTAAAGGATCAAAATGTCGGCTATTTATTGGCTTCTCTCGAAAAAACAATCAACGTATAGTTATTTCTTGTTGTTCAATTTTTCGACACTCGATATTTAATATATTAAATATTTTCATTTAAATGAAAAGAGCATTATGTTAACAAAAAGCGAAATTAAACAGTTAATAATAAAGGAAACTCGTCAAACCAACAGAAGCATTAAAATATTCAACGGTATTAGAATAATTGTAGTTGTATTTGTGTAAACGAGATCAAGTGAATAGAGGAGATGCGGATACACGTTTTTGTGAATTCGAATCTGTAGCTCCCCAACAAGATGTTACTGTACGATTATATTCAGCAAACAAAAATCGTTACTTGACTTGTTCGAAACACTCAATCGTTTTAGATCATACTCATTTAGACATCACCAATAACAGAATACCATTCAAAAATGATTATATTCGTACTTACTAAATCTTTAAACAAATTTGACCTAATTTCGTTTCCTTGTAGATGTCGCTCATTACAAGTGAGTGTCGTTCTGCATCAATTTTTTTCGTTAATTTATTGTCGTAAATGAAAAAAATAAAATGATTCCCATTATTCTAAAAAGAAAATCATATGTTTTTCTTCAAAATTTTTCTTTCCTAAAAATCTCAAAACTCATTGAACGAATTCAAGGTACATTGTTGTGTATATTTACTATTATTATTGCGGTTGATGAGTCATCGTTCATCTTTCTTCCTCGTGTGTCAACTAAGGCATTGACCGACCGACTTTTGTTCATAAAAATATATAGAAAAGAAAATTCCATCGTTATTTTTTCTGTTTTTCTAGATCATGTGATATAAAAAAGTTTTCAATGGTAGCCAAAGCTGCACGAGATCGACGATCATCGTCGTTGGCCAAGGCCACTGCACCCACATCAACAACTACTAGACAAACACGATTATCATCAGCTAGTCATGATAAAAAAGTATAATAAAATGGTATTTTTTCTTTTGAAATATTTCAATTAAACAATTTCAGAAAACTGCTAAACCAATTGGTATATGTGGATTTTGTTTGGGTGATAATGAAAAAAATGCCAATGGTGTTCCAGAAGAAATGATACATTGTGCTGAATGTGGAAACTCAGGTATAATTTAAGTTTATTTTCTTATTTTTAGTTTTTGTTTTTGTAATTTAAAACAAAATTTTATTATTTAGGACATCCATCATGTTTACAATATTCAGAAAAATTAGTAAAAAAAATTCGAACAATTCATTGGCAATGTATCGATTGTAAACGATGTATTGTTTGTAATAAAAGTGATGATTCAGTAAGAAATTAAAATATTCTTCTATTTTTTATTTATTTTATTATTTTAAGTTATTATTCTGTGATTTTTGTGATTCTGGTATACACCCAAAATGTTGTAATCCACCATTAAATAACATTCCTAAAGGTGATTTTGCTTGTCATGGTTGTCATGATGAAATAATGTCATCATCAAATAAAAATCTTTCATTATCATCATCATCATCATCATCAACACGTTCTCGTCGTAGTAATGCTTCAATTAATAATAATACATCAGAAGTTGTATCTGATTCTATTGCTCAAGTTGATGATAGTATGACAAATTATTGCTTACCAAATAAATCAAATTATAATAATATTCGACAACAATCTATACAAAAAGCAATGAAATATTTACGTGAAAATAAAACATTAAAATCATCAAATAAAAAATTACTTAAAAGACTTCATTCAACAAACATAATTAAAGAAAATCATCAATCATTAGCTAAAACTATTACAAATTCATCAAAAACGCAACGAATACGAAAAAAACTTTTACAAGATGATTTATGTTCAAAGTACACAAAAATAAAAAAAACTTTCTTTTCTCTACTGAATATAATAAATTATTCATAATTGTTGTTTTAGTCCTCAAACAAGTACTCCTTTAATAACACGTCAATTATCAAATAAAAAATCATTTACCAATGAATCATTAACTTCTCAACCACTTCATCCAATTGAAGAATTAAGTAAGACACCATTATTACGATCAACAACTAACAAACGAAAACATTCAACAATTTCTTTATCACCTATTTCGACTACATCATCAATTGTAAAAAAACGAACAAAAGATGAATCGTCAGTTAAAAAACATCATTCAAATATTAATAGTAATAAACAAAAAGAAAGTCTTACTGAAGATAATCAATCTGATGATGAGAAACAAATACAATCGACAGGTGCAAAACGAAAACTTCATTTAGATCTGTCAAGTAAGAATTAAAAAATCTTGATTTATTATTCTTGAAACTCATATTTATTTCATGTGGAAATTACTTTTATAATTTTTACTTTTGAAATTATTAGATCAGTTAGATTTTGATAAGTAGAACAAATATTGTCATAAACGTCAAAATATCTGAATGTATTTCTGCAGAAAATATTGAGTTAGTCAGTGTGAGATATGACTTTAATCGTTCGCTTTGCTCTGTCACAGTTTATGTGAAAGAGTTCACAATTTTTCGTATAGTCTGATAAAAATCAGCAGTAGATTCTGTTTTGAAACAAAACAAAATAGCTAGACACTCTAAACACTTTCTCGTATGAATAGAAGAAAGTTTCAGATTGATTAGACAGAAATACAAGGGCGATTCTTCCACTAGTTTTGTCAAAAAAGTTCTTTTTGTTTTATAAATAGCGCAATAATGTGTTAATTCAGCGAAAAATTTCCATTTTTACAGCTTTTACAGTTATGTATTAAGTCTAGAAGTATGTCCAACAGAGAGAGAATAGAAGAGAAATCCCCCTTGAAGTAAACAAGAGTTTCTTCTTAAAACAACATATTTATTTTCTAAGTCAATTATGTTAAATTGCATTAAGTGATTAGTGAAAATATTTCTATGAAAATTTTCTCAAATAAGAATTTTGTTTTTTTAAATCATTCATTTGTCTAATATATAAATTAATTATAATTTTTATTATTATTTAGAGTATAAAAATCCACCAGCATTTATCAAAGATACACTTCCAGATAATATTGTTGAGAATGATGTATATTTATTTCTTGAATCACGTAAAGATTCTACAAAACTTATAACAGATGTAAGTTTCATCAATAATGTTTTTGTTTTTATGATAAAATTCTTTATTTTTGTGTCTTTGAAGTATTCTGATAAATTTAATAATTCCAGTGAACCTATTGAAGATGATGGAACAAATACACGTTGGCCACCATATATTGTCTTTGGTTCAGATTTAATAAAAACTTGGTATTCATCCTCATATCCTCAAGAATATGCACGTGTACCACGTTTATATATATGTGAATTTTGTTTAAAATATATGAAATGTGAACAAGTTTATGATCGACATTGTGTAAGTATAATTTTCTATTTATCTTAATTGTTTTAATTATTATTTTTATTTATAATAATAGAAAAAATGTATTGCTTGTCATCCACCAGCAAATGAAATCTATCATAAAGATGATCTATCAGTTTTTGAAGTTGATGGAAATGTAAATCGAATTTATTGTCAAAATTTATGTCTTCTTGCAAAATTATTTCTTGATCATAAAACACTTTATTATGATGTTGAACCATTTTTATTTTATGTTTTAACAAAAAATGATTCAAATGGTTGTCATTTTATTGGATATTTTTCAAAAGAAAAACATTGTCCACAAAAATATAATTTATCATGTATAACTGTTTTACCTAATTGTCAACGTCGTGGTTATGGTCGATTTTTAATTGAATTAAGTTATTTACTTTCACAAAAAGAAGGACAAGTTGGTACACCTGAAAGACCATTATCAACACTTGGTGCACAAACATATGAATCATATTGGAAAATTAAAATTATTGAACAATTACTTATGTATTATAATGAAAATAAACAAAAATGTTTATTAAAAATGATTATGAATGAAACAGGAATGGCATGTGATGATATTATTGAAACATTACAAAATTTAGGTGTTTTAACAATGAAATCAAATGGAAAGTAAGTTTGAAAATACGATCTACTTATTATATTGCTATACGATTAAATGAAAGCATAACGAAGATATATGTCGGAAAAAAATAGATAGAATAAAATAATCTCTTTGTAATCAACAACAACAATCACACAGGCCTTGCACCGGTCCTTCTTTTTTCCTTCCTTTTTTTAGAGCGTCCTCCTTCGTCCTTCTTTTCCTTCTTTTTTACTTTTCATACGAATAGGCTCAGAAACATCGAAAAACCTGATTATCAATACTTAGTTAGAGTCCAACACTGATAGGGAGCTCTCAGAGCTCCAGGAAATGTTTAATTTACCTCAAGTGCAATGAAAAGTCCGCCACACTTAGACTAAGGTGCGCATGTGGGACTTCACTTTACGTGGTGCCCAAATGCAGGACTTGAGGTACGTAAAATGGCGCTTTTCTGAAATCCGGTCACTGCTGAGAGTTTTGGGCATATACTCAGTGACGAAGCATAGCTGAACCTGAGCTATATCATGGTCATAGTCTTATACCAGGTATCACATAATAGATGAGCCTCTCAGCATTTTGACTATAATTTTTTCTCATTACATTTTCAAGAACTAATCTTTTTCTCAGAAGATGCGTCTTAGAATTGTATAGGAAAAATGCATTGAGTATGCTATTCCAAAGTGCTCAAGTGAAAAACTACACGAAAAATATTACGAAGCTCGAGAGACCTTAACTTTCCAATCGTAAATGCAGCCTTAGGCGGCTTTACTTTTTGCACTTTGAGATATGAACAAATCTACGTAGCTACCTTGTAGTCCTTGAAAAGCTCTACCGTCTTCTTATGATTAGAATTTTTCCACCCTTGAACTAGTTGAAAGAGAATTGTTTTCTCTATTTACACTTTTTCCACAAGAATCATCATTTTTTGAACAGCAGTTTTGCACACCTGTGAAAATTTCTCAGATCTATCTAAAAACAAAACCTTTCGAGGCCAACTTTTTAAAATATTTGACTGAGAACTGGTATGTCTGTTATATCCAGGTATGGGATGTTTAATAGCGTTGTGTCTTTGAATACGCTATGTGAGACGAGAGAATGTTTCTCCTTGTTGCCCAGTGCATTTCCAAGAAGTTATTCTTTATATTGTAACATTGAGCGTGGACGAAATCTCTCATATATCATGAGAAAGAGCACCCTTGACAGCGGCAGAAAACTCAGCTTGATATATTCTGATACATTTGTAATCGTTCAAAAGCATTGTTTAGTTGTGCTGAAGTGCTTTGGAAAGTTGAAGTCTTTGAAGCTTCGTAGCATTTTTCGTGTAGTTTTCCACTTCAGCATTTTGGAACAACATACTCAATACATTTTTTGTAGGCAATTTCAAGACGCATCTTCTGAGAAAAAGATTAGTTTTTGAGAATGTAATGGAAAAAAGTTATAGCCAAAATATCGAGATGCTCATTTATTATGCGACACCCGGTAGATGGTTGTGCAAGTGACCTTTAGTCGCGTATCAATGTTCGATCGAGATTGTCGCTCAGCAGAACAAAAGACGCACAGTTTTTATTGGTGTCGTTGTTGATGAACAAAAGCAGAAAGGCAACCGACATTCAGTAGTACGCAGTGGCGGCGCTTGTGGACGAGAATGGGGGTGGTACGTGCAAGTTAATTTCAATTCCACTCAAAATTAACGTTCAACTTTCTACGCAAATTAAGTTGGTCAATCAATTTCAGAGATGACTTTGGACTTCTCCCCTATAAAACTACCGAGAGAGTCATTAAGAAATGAGGATGACAACAACATGCACACAGATTCCATGACCAAGGAGACAACTGTTCGTCTTTGAAATTCGTTCTCTGTTCGTATTCGCTACAAAACCGAGAGAATGGTCTTGCAACGTGCACAAATAATAATTCGAAAATAATTTTACTCGTCTGAACTCAGTCCTATCGTTTCTTATTGGACATCGTATACAATTTATTTGTTGCAGCTCAGTACTCCGGGAAAACTCCTTCTTTCCCTTCCTTTCCTTCTTTTGTTCCAATTTCCTTCTTTTTTTTTGAAAAAATCCTTCTCAAAATCCTTCTTCTTGGTACCCCCCTGGTGCGACCCCTGATCACATTGTATTTTTATCCTAGAAGAATTCTTCTAGTTGTTTTCTTATTTAATTTTAAATAAATAATATTTTTCTAGACCTGTAATTACTGCTGATATAACACAATTAGAAACAATATTAAAAAATGATAAAATAAAACATGCACATTGGGTTTCAATTGATAGTGAATATTTACGTTTTACACCTGTACTTACACCACTTTTATTAACAAATGAAGAAAAAGCTGTTGAAAAAGAAGTTAAAGAAATTCAAATTGTATTTAAACAAATTGGTCGTGAAGCTGCTGAGTAAATTTCAAAAATAATAAATAATAATTTTGAAATTTTGAAATTTTATTTTATTTTTATAGAGCAGCATTATTAGAAGCTGAATCAAATGATGGTTCAAATCCAACAGAAATTATACGTTATATACGAAGACGAAAATATGGACAAAAACGTCGTTCAATTATTGTTAAACGTCGAACACCAATGAATAATAAATCAAATAAAAATGAATCAATCATTACTAATGATGATAGTTGTACAATTGATACAACAATTAATGATATTGATGAACATTCACAAGAATATAAACCTCGTCGACAATTTTCAATAATACATGAAACTATAGAACAAGAAGAAAATAAATCTATTTCTCCTACACCATCATTAAAACTTACTTTAAAACAATCAACATTTAAACAATTACAACTTGATCAATTTCTTAAAGTTATACAACCAGATGGAAATTTATTAACTAATGAAGAATCTAAAATAAATCATATATCTCATTCAAATATAGAAACTAAAAATGAAAATGATGAAGAAATTCATTTACCATCAAGACGTATAAATCGAAATACACGTTTAAATTCTACATCAAAAATTGACACTGATCTTATTATTAAATCAAATGAAAATTCATCAGAAACATTAAACAAACCTGATCGTATGTATTTCATACAATTTTTTTTTTACTCAATAATACCGATAGATATTATTAGTTGATCCAAATAACAAAGAAAAGTCATAGATGAACAAATAACTTTCTACTAGATTACATGCAAAATAGTTCTAGAATCAGAGTCAATATATATTTTTCATTGAAAACCATATCTTTCATGGTTATACAAAAAAACTATCGATAAATATCGTATTGTCAGAATTCATAAGTTCTAAGTAGATACTAGTTTTGCATATGTTTAATCTCTACTTAAATAGAATTTGATGAATTTTTTCGATTTGAGAAAGAAGATGAATATTTAATATACGGTGTAAATAAAGAAAATTTCTAAAAGACTAAGATGGTCGTCTTCTGTGCTAGATAAAATACGAATTATTTTGCCATTCTATATAAGAACTTCAATCAATCAAAAATTATTTTAGTTAATCATCAAGATTCATTCACAAGACAAATAAGTGAAGGTAGTCTTTCAATTATATCATCGAATGATAGTTCAACAACAACAAATACTCTTAATTCATCTTCAACATTCAATATGGATCGACCATTATCATTAAAAAAACGTGGTTTAACTTCATCAGATATTCAAGCTTTAATTGATAGTACAGTTTCACCATCTAAGGTTAATATTTATTTATTTTTTTTCTATTAACAAAATATAATTTTTAATTTAATTTAGAATAAAACGGATCAATCAATTTTTAATTATGAAACAAAAAAACAACCTGAAACTCTTTCATCATTATCAGATATTCTTGCTAGTCCACTTCTACAATCTCTAAATATTGTCGATGATGAAAGAAAAATTGCTAATATTGAATCTCAATTAAAAACAAGTACAACTACTATAGTTAATAATGATCATGAAAAAGAAAAATCAATTTTATCATGTAATTCATTTGAAACAACAATTAAACCAATTGAATCAATTGATGATGAACAACCACCTAGTTTAATATCACCAACATCAATGATTATATCACAATCAAATCATTATAATTATTCAACACGACCTAAACAACAACAACAACAACAACAACAAATTAATAATTTTAATCCGTCAACTAATATGACATATGATTATGATAATACATCATATCCATATACAACATATCCACAAGTACCATCCTATGATATGCAATCATATTATTATCCATCAACAATACCAATGGATTATACGCCTTATTATCCAACATCATCATCAACATCGGTTTATCCTCCATCAGGATCAATTTATGAAAATACATCTGAACCACAATCATATTATTCATCAAATGATGTTAATACAATATCGTATAATGGTAATGGTACAACACCGTATACTTATCCAACACCACAACCATCATCAACGGTACCAACAACTCAACGACATTAAATTATGAATATATATATATATAGTAACTGATTCGGTCAGATAGAATGATTCATATGTGTAAATATATTTTCTTGTTCTTTTCGTTTTTTTTCTTTTCATCTCAAGAAATTGTTTATTTATTTGTCTTACGTTTTTTTTTTTGTTTTCTCCTCTAATATAAATATATGAGAAGAAAATAATAAATAAGAGAAAAATATTAAATAAGTGTTCTGTTTTTTTGTACTTCTTTTTTTACATCATCGTTAAATTGTTGCTCGTTTTCTTTTTTCTAAATTTCATTTTTTTTGTCTTTATTACATTGTAACGAATAATTGATGATGATAGTCGTGACTCTTTCTTTTTTTTTGTCTACTACCTTTTTTTTTCTTGAGTGTTTATGTATATAATTTTGTGTGTTTGTCATGTGAAAACAGTGTTTTGTTGTTTATTGTCATTCTGATGATACTTAAAATGAATTATTGATGATGATGATGATACAACAAAATAATAGAAATTGGCATTAATATTCAAAGTTTTTCTACTTTTAAATATTATGTTGAATTGTATCGATTCATATATAATAAAATGATCTTATCAGATTATTGTATAAATATGATAGAGATTCAAAATATGTGTTCATATTTATAAACATAAATAAAAGTACAGAGAAAGAGAGAGAGACATAAATCAACTAAAATTGAATAAATATAAATTAGTTATTCAAGAAAACTTAGATACTTCGAAATCTATCCGATTATGTATTATTGTCAAAGTACAATTTGTATAAGACTTGTGTGTTTACAAGTCTAATCGTCGGAATCTTGGTGCATTTAATGGATTCATTCAATCAAAATGTACTAATTTAGCTAAATGACGAAAGAGATTCTTGAAGAGTTTCTCGAAAACTATCACGACACTGGCTATATTTTACTACACAACGGCAGTGGTATATTTCTAGCTATGATAGACAACTATGATTAAAACAATAAGATGAATCATCGACATACACAATTTATTAAAAAAATCAAGACTTTTTTCCATCGGTCTCGTCATCATATTTGATAGAATATGTGTTGAAATATCAGTGTCCTTAATTAGAAAAAAAAATTTACCTGTATTCAATTTTAGCTGTACTCTCTTTATATTTATAATAGAATATGTGATCTAAACTATTTGTCCGATTTAAATGAATGATGATTCTAAAAGAATTAATTATAAACCCAAGCATTAGAATAGATTGTTTACAAAAGTATGACAATATATTTCAGTTGTATTAAATCCATTTTTTCGAAGTATGTCATTTCAACAGTAAATGTGCTATAAAATCTTGCTCTTATAAAATCAAAGCTGCTATTCGTTGAATAATAGATTATATAAAAACTAAAGTCTTGTATTAATGCTTGTCAATTTTTAATAGTCTACAAGAGTATCATTTATTCTATTTTAAGTCAATTCTGTTTATGTGTTGTAAACGTATATAGTTTTGATATATCACATCATAATTTTCATGGTTATACAAAAAGTATGTGAATAGAAGAAATAGTCTATGCATTATTGTTATTGAAGTTGGGTTTTGTCTAAGCCATTCTAGTTTGTATTTTAAAAAATAGAAGCAAGTTCATAGATAATAAATGATATGAGGTTAAATAGGACTTAACAGAGTATTTTAATGTATCTCCTCGGTTGTTTTCTATAATTTACAACACTTTACATTAGTCCAATATATTCGAGTCAGAGACGAGAACAGGACAAGTTTTTCCATCCTGTCCTGTCCTGCAAAAAAATCCGTCCTGCCGCTCCCAGGACAGGACAAAATTTCTGATTTCGTCCTGCAGGACAGGACAGGACAGGACAGGGCAGGTCAGGACAACACACGTAGGATATCCTAGGTCAGGATTCGAGTATTTCCTCTCACCATTCGCGACAAGCCCGATTTCAACTGAGATCACACTGGTTCCAAGTACAACTCGATGAGCTCTATCCAACGCACTAGTTTTTTTTTCGAAAACAAACAATTCTTCCAGGTCAAAACCCGCTTTTTCCGCAAAAAAAACAAGAAAAAACAACACAACGTCACCAAAACCAATCACGATTCGCTCAGAGACCGATTCCAACAAAACTAACACTGGTTCCAAGTAGATCTCGATGCGCTCTATCCAACGAACACCTTTTCAGCTCAAATCGATGCAACTATCACTGAGAAATCGGCTTACAAGGCCCGAAACAACGCTTTTTTCCGGAAAACCTCTCATGATTCGCCCAGTATCCGATTCCAACAAAACCAACACTGGTTCCAAGTAGATCTCGACAAGCTCAATCGAATGGATACCTTTTGAGCTTAAATCGATCCACCTATCGCTGAGAAACCAGCCAATAGGACCCAGAACAGAGCTTTCCTTCCGAAAACCCTATTACGATTCGTCCAGAGATCGATTCCAACAAAACTAACGCTGGTTCCAAGTAGATCTCGACGAGCTCGATCGATTCCACACCGGGTTGATCCGATTCCAATTAGTCTTCATGGCGAAAATCCCAAATTGCTGGTTTTTTCCTATGGACGCGAAAACTCACTTAATGCTGATTTTTCATAAAAGCTGAATGGATTCGCCTGGAGGCCGATTTCAATAAACTCAATGATGGATTTAGATAGATCCTGATGTGCTCTATCGGTTCCGCACCTCATTCGTCCGATTCCAATTGATCTTTATGGAGAAAATCGCTAATTAGTGCCACGTTCCGATATACAGGGCAGGAAGCACTAAGAAAACCTAAATATATTCACCCAACGCCCGATTCCCATGGAATCAATGATGGACTCAGATAGATCTTGATATGCTCTACCGGTTCCATACATCATTGGTCCGATTCCAATTAGTCTTTGTGGAGAAAATCGCTAAATAATGCCTCGTTCTGATATAGAGGGTAGCAAGTACTACGAAAACCTAAATATCTACAGCCAAGAGCCAATTCCAAGAAAACCAATGATGGATACAGATAAATTTTGATGTGCTCTATCGATTCCACACCTCACTCATCCTATTCCAATTCGTCTTTGTGGGGAAAATAGCTAATTAGTACGTCATGCCGAATGAAAGGGTAGTAATTTTTAGAAAAACCTAAATATCTTCACCGAAGGCCCGATTCGAATGGAACCAGTGACAGACTCAGATAGATCTCGATTCGCTCTATCGATTTCACATCTCATTCGTCTGATTCCAATTAGTCTTTATGGAGAAAATCGCTAATTAGTGCCTCGGTCGGATATAGAGAGTAGGAAGTTCTAGGAAAACCTAAATATCTTCATCGAAGGCCCGATTCCAATAGAACCAATGACTGATTCATATACAGCTCGATTAGCTCAGTCGATTCCACACCTCATTCCCCTGATTCCAATTAGTCTTTATGGAGAAAATTGCTAATTAATGCCTCGTATCGATATATAGCCGTAGTAAGTTTTAGGAAAACATACATACCGTCACTCATGACCCGATTCCAGTATAACCAATGATAGATTCATATACAGCTCGATTTGCTCTAACGATTCCACACCTCATTCGTCTGATTCCAGTTAGTTTTTATGGAGAAAATCGCTAATTAGTGCCTCGTATTGATGTGTTGGCGTAGTAAGTTTTAGGAAAACCTAAATATCTTCACCGAAGACCTGATTCCAATACAACCAATGATGGATTCATATACAGCTCGATTCGCTCTATCGATTCCACATCTCATTCGTCTGATTCCAATTAGTCTTTGTGGAGAAAATCGCTAATTAGTGCCTCGGTCGGATATATAGGGTAGCAAGTTCTAGGAAAACCTAAATATCTTCGCGCAAGGCATTATTAAAATTGTAGCTTGAATTAACTTTTCATCAATATTTAATTTACAATAAGCTGGAACTGTGTTTTTTCTTCAAGATTTATAATTGTTAAATGTAGAATTAGAACATTATTTATTAAATTTATATGATGAGCAGTCTTAGGCGAATAAAACTTAATGTAAATTTCAGTCCAAATTTAATATAAGTACTATATCCACTTTATCTGAGTTTATACATTAACCACTTGTATGTTTTGATAATGAGAAAATGAAATAATCTTGGTTATCTTTTTTACATTTAGAAATTAAGTTATAACGTTTTTCAGACACTGTTCGGCCATCAAGACATAAATAGCAAGGCTTTAATAAGCAGAATAATCTGACAGTTTTGTGATTAAACTCTCATTACACGAATAGTAAAAGAATAATTTATAGTTTCTTGTTTTAATAATATAGGTTTGAGTAATTCAAATTTTCCTGATGCACCAGAAGATGAGCTCTTTAAAAGAATACCGCTAAAATATTTAAAATAATTACTAATTTTTTCTTCAAAATTATTGATATGGACGATCGATGACATATTCTGTACTACTGCATCACTGTAAACATTAATTTTTATGTCTTATTTTGATTATCGTCTTCATCTTTTGCATGAAGTCGATTTGACCGCGCATGATTATGCGTAGCTTGTTTAGATATTGACATCAGATTTGATTCCATTTTTAATCTGAAGAATAATTTGAAATTTTTTACTTAGAAAAATCTGTTTTTTTTATCTGGCAAATGTAGTTCACCTTTTTTATAGGTCCACATTAAAGAAAAGATCGTAAAAATTTTTGTGAATATCTTATAATAAATAATGTTTCGTCAAGATTAAGTTTAATTTTGTCGCATGTTATTGTATATGATGTATTAAATCATTGTTCAAATGTTTTACTCCATTTTAATACCAATGATAATAGACACCTTAATAATGCTAGTGATTTAAATGAATTATTTTGTAATGATGTACCTGTTAATACAAAATAGTATGAAGCAACATTACATTTGTTAATTTTCAATAATGATCTTTAATGATGTGATGTTTACTAAAAAAGAAGGAACATATTAAACAATAAAAAGAAAGTTTTTCAAAGGAAGTCGATAATCATATAAGTCCATTTGATTTTTGATAAAAGTGTTTTATCTTTGACAATATGTTCGTATGTTGTTAAAAGAACGTTGAATTTACGATTTCTTAATGTATAACCAAACGTTTTATATGTTTGTGAATCACTATTAAAATTATTGTTGAGACAGTTGCTGATCATTTTTAAAATACATTAAACCAATTACCTAACGTGCTAAATAGAAAGTTTTAGATAAATATAACGTGTCTAAGAATTGTTTCATATTCAACAACACTCTTTTCTTATTCATCAAGTATTGATACCGTAATTTGAATTGTTGTTTCTAGTAAATGTGATCAACTATCATCTTTATTATCACTAGTGTCTCTTTATGTTGGTCATAAAAGAGAATTTTTTTCTAACCATAAAACTAATTCTGATAATAATGATATATTTTATTCTTCTCTAATTATACATACTGTTAATACTTTAACATTAACAACAAGTAAATGATTTGATTCATCATTTATTTGATCATTATTATTATTAAAAATTTTTTTCTATTTTGTTTTTCTTCTTTAAATCATTTTGATATCCTTTTGCACGATTAACTAAGCTTGATATATATTCATCTATTAACATTATATGTAAGTGCAGTGTTTCTGTTTTTTTCATCGACTATTTTTTATAACCATTTTCATCTTCATTCATTTATACGATACAGACGTCCAAGTTCAATATTTTGATATCATGATAACATTGATTGATCTAATTTATTCTTTTTTAAAATCGATTGATAAAAAAATTCTTTCAATTCACTTGCAACCGATAATAAAATTGTTAATTATAGTCGATATTTTTGATGATATCTACCATCAATTCTAGCTTTTTATCATTTTTCTAATTTTTTGGTGCACGTACGTCATGCATACCAGACTGTTTCCAACATTTATATAACCAACGATTATTATCTGTTTCATGACCGGAGTCCAAACCCATAAGCGTTACTATTTCTGAACGAAGTTGTCTTTGAAAATTCAGTAAGATAAGTACTTTCAATTTTGTAATTATTCACATTGATAAATCATCTTGTGTCAAAATTGATGAAAAATTGTCCAAGTTCATTTAATTGAACAGCTTTTTTTTTCTTTCCTTCTTTTCTTTATTGGCTACGGTGATGAACTATATGTTCATTAATAGAAAAGGCATAGATGTATATATAATCGACAGGTGCGCATTTTTTTGATCACCAAAATTTGAGTTTTGATCACCAAATTTTTTAGCTGCGAAATGATCACCAAAAAATTAGTGATTTGATCACCAAATTAATTATAGGCGGCAAAATCAAAAAGATAAAAGAAGAAAAAAAAATTCAATCAAATTAATGCCATATCATCAACGACTACAGCATCTCCGAGTATGCATCCCGTTAATCAAAGGAAATATTATAACAGAAAGCATAATTCTCTTATTCTAAATCTTATCCACATCGCATCAATCTTCAGACCCAGAGCTCATCCACATCCAGGGCTCGCGCGAAGGGTCAAGGATTGGGGGGGGGGGGCGCGTAGAGAGATGTTTGCAAAACAACCTCTAAAAAGCGTAAAAAGTAGTCAAATTTTGCTCTTTTAACTGGAAAAAAACTGAAACATTTTGATTATTGGGGGGTATACACCCCTGCTCGCGCGGGGCCTGCCCACACTCACAACCACACTCTCACCCTTTCCCCTCATCCTCAGCCTCACTTCAAGATTTCTTTTTTGTTACGTCCCATGATAATATTGAAATTCTTCATTACTACTAGCTAATAAGTTCATCTTAATCGCGTACGATTAGAGAAGTTGAGTTTCACTTATGGGAATATTTTTTTCCATTTTAATTGGCTCAACTCTTGATTGATTTGGTGATCAAATCACTCATTTTTTGGTGATCATTTCGCAGCTACACAATTTTGGTGATCAAAACTCAACTTTTTGGTGATCAAAACACATTGTTCCCATAATCGACCATCGTATATATCCATTATCGGCAGTCGTCTCTTTTATTTTTTTTTCTACATGATATTACAATAAAAACGAACGTATTGAACAATAACAAAAAAAAGAAAAATGATGCGGTAGTCATTAAAATTCATAAATTTGAGAATAGATCCCATATTCGACTAGATCTATTGAACTACGCACTTCTCTTACACCTTTTTGATCATCATAAATGCACAGTCTATTGTTTTTAACGATAAGAGTAGCGGTGAAATGCACATTTTTATTATGTATCACCGCCCGCAATTCGTATCTAGCAAAAAAAATACAAAAAGTTAGGAAAACATAAAACATTTAAATAATATACTGGACTGAGCCAATTCTTATAATCTTTTTCATATCCCGTAGCCGCACAGGCTTTGCTTCATATCCCTCTTCATTGCGTTTTGAAAATGGCTCAATATTGGCTATAATAATTGGAGGGTGTCCATAATCAAAAAACGCTTCAGAAGAGACATTTGTACGATTACATATCCATCCTCGTCTTAGAAAAAAAGTGTTGAAAAATTTAGAAGAGACAAAATGAAGCGACTTACATATATCCATTCTCGTTTGTCTCATAATTAACAAATGGCACTCGACCATCTTTATATTTATTTTTAAGTGCTTCCACTTCTGTCATTTCATCATAACGTTTAATCATTGCTGTGCATATTCCCATAGTTTCAGCTTCAAATTTTTCGATATGATCATCGAAAGGACTAGAAGAATTGATGGTGAAAAAAAGTTACAGGTATTGACAAATATGTACTCACAAAAATCGTAATTCTGTTGTTGAATAATTACGCTCTTTATCTGTACATTGAAGATTTGTACATGTAATTGTGTTTGAATGACGTTGATTGTCTTTAATAAAACAAAAAACTTGTTCATCGGCTGAACCGAACAAGCTTTTTGGTTGTTGATCAGTTGGTTTTAAAAGATGGAAGTTAAGTAACCAGCTGATACGAGCAGCATCCCACCCTTCCTTTTCGACTAAATGAAAAATTTTGACAAGCGTTGAATAAGATGATGTTTCTGGTGCACTATCAAATTCGGTGGTAATATTAATATCAGTCCGATACAAAAAATATAAAGCAAATAAGGCTGAATCAATAGGACACGTAAGCGTGAGTGTGTATGTTTGACCTGATAAAACAAGATATTATATGCAGATAACAATTTCGTTGTCTTCTAATTATCTTCGAAAAGAGCATTGTTTATCTCAAACTTAGGCCATCGTAATACATGACCATCAATTATTGTTTCTGGTTGAGATGAACGTTGACAATGCGGCATCTTGAATGATTGATCAGTTGTTACGAGTGGTGCTATTTTGAGAATTTTTTTCAATTAGTTCAAAACGTTCATATTCATGCATACCCAAGTCAACAGGATACAACATATCGACGATTGAAGACATGGTATTTGTATCAAAATTAAATTTATTTGAAATTTCGCTTTGTTCATCATCATCGGCCGTCGGTTTACCTAAACTGATTCGAACATTATTAGAATATTCACTACTTACCATTGAATCAGATTCGGATGAAGGCGATACAGAACAGCTTTTACTAAGTTCTGAAGATTTTCTACAATAATTGGTATTTTTTTTTGTATATGAAAATTTTTCTTCATACTCTGAAGATATGCTATCACTTGACACATTAGAAGATGATATTGACCGATTTAATGATGAAACTGTTGTAGCATCTTCTGATTCACTAAAGACAAAAATAATGTCTAAAAGATTAAAGATAAAAAAATGTACCTGAATTTTTTTGCAACATAATCAGATTGAGTGTCATTCATTTTGATGCGGGCGCGTTTCGATGCGAATTTGTCAATCAATTTCATATATGTGGTCCGACCTGTTTGATCGTTAGCTGCTTTACCCCAGTTCACTTCTATAGTTGATTTCTCTTCTAAAGTTGTGTTCTTTTTTTTTCGTTTTCTACCTTTTGAGCTTTGTGTTACTTCAAATTTATTAGCTTTAAATTGTGTTTTAATACTTCGATACGATTCCAAAATGACACTGAATGGACGATTATTAACTTTACCTTGAAGGATACTTTTTTTCAACGTTCGAAAATAACTTTCAATAAGAGCATTTGAATGACGAATAGGATAATGCATTACAGATAAATTTGTTATGATATCATTTGAATATCGCTCGTTAAAGTTCAATAATAAATCTGTCCACAAAGGCAAATATGCCCACCATCGATAAAAAATACGTATTATTGACGGAGAAAATAATGGATTAGTAGATTTATCTGATTTAGATTTATGATTAATAAGAGTAGCAGGATTAGGATAAAGACGAATGGCTTCTTGATTAAAAGGTGATTGATGAATAATCGGAGCACTGGAACGTAAATATATTCGTCCACAATGCGCAGCTTATCATTTTCTTTTTTAGCCTCTTTGAATATTTTCTTACCGTTCTTCAATATTGATGCACTTTCTTCATCAACATCAAGTTGAAGAGACACTAATCGTTCAAAGTTTTCTTTTGCGTTCTGTTCATCTGGATCACCGAATATATTAATCACCGAGCCGAGTATATTATATAATTGCTTGATGTCATTACTGCATAAGATAAAAGCGAATATATATAGTACACCTCGTCGAATTTTTTTATCAATTTGTGCAGTAGTTAAGCTTCTTGCTATGGCATGAATAACATGACAACAACAAAAATGAATAAGTGATAATGATCGAAGTTGTTTGGCGTTATATTTGCCACATATAACATTCCAACATCGATTAAGATGAGTATTGATATTTTCTTCATTGAATGCTTGAAGAGTTGCATTCATAATAGCAGGAGAAAAATCAATTATAAAGAAAGAAGGGAGAACTAATTTGCTTTTAATTTGATCAATTTTGTGAGCAACGTTTGCAAAAAAATAACCAATGCTAGGAACTGTATGATCTGTAAGAATTGCATGTGCAAGTGGAATAGTATCATTAGAATCAGTTACATCTTTAAATATAATTGCGTAAAGTAATGACTGTTTTTGCTCCCACATTTTTTTTAATATACCACCAGTAGCATCTATATGAATGTCATAGGCAAAATTGAATTTTAGGCAAAATTAGTTTTTTCTTTTGCGCTTCTATCAATTTCAATTTTGCCTAGGCAGAATTCGTTAGCTGT